TCCAGAGCTGAGATATCGAAACTCAAAATTTCGACCCGAAAAAAAAAACGACAGTGTTACCCCTTACGTTTTTTTGCGTTTTCGGCGAAAAATCAAGTTTCTCCAATCTTCTCAAAAACTCTGGATTATGATAGAGGGCCGCGAGACTTTCCCTGAGCGCAAAAATGGAGGCTCTAGACCCTTCCCAGAGCTGAGATATCGAAACTCAAAATTTCGACCCGAAAAAAAAAACGACAGTGTTACCCCTTACGTTTTTTTTGCGTTTCGGGCGAAAAATCAAGTTTCTCCAATCTTCTTCAAAACTCTGGATTATGATAGAGGGCCGCGAGACTTTGGCCTGAGCGCAAAAATGGAGGCTCTAGACCCTTCCAGAGCTGAGATATCGAAACTCAAAATTTCGACCCGAAAAAAAAAACGACAGTGTTACCCCTTACGTTTTTTTTTTTTCGGGCGAAAAATCAAGTTTCTCCAATCTTCTCAAAACTCTGGATTATGATAGAGGGCCATGAGACTTTGACCTGAGTGCAAAAATGGAGGCTCTAGACCCTTCCAGAGCTGAGATATCGAAACTCAAAATTTCGACCCGGAAAAAAAAACGACAGTGTTACCCCTTACGTTTTTTGCGTTTTCGGGCGAAAAATCAAGTTTCTCCAATCTTCTCAAAACTCTGGATTATGATAGAGGGCCGCGAGACTTTGACCTGAGCGCAAAAATGGAGGCTCTAGACCCTTCCAGAGCTGAGATATCGAAACTCAAAATTTCGACCCGAAAAAAAAAAACGACAGTGTTACCCCTTACGTTTTTTTTGCGTTTTCGGGCGAAAAATCAAGTTTCTCCAATCTTCTCAAAACTCTGGATTATGATAGAGGGCCGCGAGACTTTGCCCTGAGCGCAAAAATGGAGGCTCTAGACCCTTCCAGAGCTGAGATATCGAAACTCAAAATTTCGACCCCAAAAAAACGACAGTGTACCCCTTACGTTTTTTGCGTTTTCGGGCGAAAAATCAAGTTTCTCCAATCTTCTCAAAACTCTGGATTATGATAGAGGGCCGCGAGACTTTGCCCTGAGCGCAAAAATGGAGGCTCTAGACCCTTCCAGAGCTGAGATATCGAAACTCAAAATTTCGACCCGAAAAAAAACGACAGTGTTACCCCTTACGTTTTTTGCGTTTTCGGGCGAAAAATCAAGTTTCTCCAATCTTCTCAAAACTCTGGATTATGATAGAGGGCCGCGAGACTTTGGCCTGAGCGCAAAAATGGAGGCTCTAGACCCTTCCAGAGCTGAGATATCGAAACTCAAAATTTTCGACCCGAAAAAAAAAACGACAGTGTTACCCCTTACGTTTTTTGCGTTTTCGGGCGAAAAATCAAGTTTCTCCAATCTTCTCAAAACTCTGGATTATGATAGAGGGCCGCGAGACTTTGCCCTGAGCGCAAAAATGGAGGCTCTAGACCCTTCCAGAGCTGAGATATCGAAACTCAAAATTTCGACCCGAAAAAAAAACGACAGTGTTACCCCTTACGTTTTTTTTGCGTTTTCGGGCGAAAAATCAAGTTTCTCCAATCTTCTCAAAACTCTGGATTATGATAGAGGGCCGCGAGACTTTGCCCTGAGCGCAAAAATGGAGGCTCTAGACCCTTCCAGAGCTGAGATATCGAAACTCAAAATTTCGACCCGAAAAAAAAACGACAGTGTTACCCCTTACGTTTTTTTGCGTTTTCGGGCGAAAAATCAAGTTTCTCCAATCTTCTCAAAACTCTGGATTATGATAGAGGGCCACGAGACTTTGCCCTGAGCGCAAAAATGGAGGCTCTAGACCCTTCCAGAGCTGAGATATCGAAACTCAAAATTTCGACCCGAAAAAAAAAACGACAGTGTTACCCCTTACGTTTTTTTTGCGTTTTCGGGGCGAAAAATCAAGTTTCTCCAATCTTCTCAAAACTCTGGATTATGATAGAGGGCCGCGAGACTTTGCCCTGAGCGCAAAAATGGAGGCTCTAGACCCTTCCAGAGCTGAGATATCGAAACTCAAAATTTCGACCCGAAAAAAAAACGACAGTGTTACCCCTTACGTTTTTTTGCGTTTTCGGGCGAAAAATCAAGTTTCTCCAATCTTCTCAAAACTCTGGATTATGATAGAGGGCCGCGAGACTTTGGCCTGAGCGCAAAAATGGAGGCTCTAGACCCTTCCAGAGCTGAGATATCGAAACTCAAAATTTAGACCCGAAAAAAAAAACGACAGTGTTACCCCTTACGTTTTTTTTTTTGGGTGAAAAATTAAGTATCCCCAATCTTCTCAAAACTCTGGATTCTGATAGAGGGCCATGAGACTTAGACCTGAGTGCAAAAATGAAGGCTCTAGACCCTTCCAGAGCTGAGATATCGAAACTTAAAATTTTGACCCGAAAAAAAAAAACGACAGTGGTACCCCTTTCGTTTTTTTTTTGGGTGGAAAATTAAGTATCCCCAATCTTCTCAAAACTCTGGATTCTGATAGAGGGCCATGAGACATGGACCTGAGTGCAACAATGGAGGCTCTAGACCCTTCCAGTGCTGAGATATCGAAACTCAAAATTTCGACCCGAAAAAAAAACGACAGTGTTACCCCTTACGTTTTTTTTGGGGGGGAGAAAAATTAATTATCCCCAATTTTCTCAAAACTCTGGATTCTGATAGAGGGCCATGAGACTTAGACCTGAGTGCAAAAATGGAGGCTCTAGACCCTTCCAGTGCTGAGATATCGAAACTCAAAATTTCGACCCGAAAAAAAAAACGACAGTGTTACCCCTTATGTTTTTTTTTGGGGGGTGAAAAATTAAGTATCCCCAATCTTCTCAAAACTCTGGATTCTGATAGAGTAAATGTTTTAACTGTTGAAAGTGTAAAGGAGTTAGACAGTATAGTTGTGATTTTGGTGTAAACACGTTTTATTATGTATAGCTAGTTAACAGTGGAGCTCCCGTAAGTACACGTAACGTTACGTTTCTAAAGTGGATTTACATAACAGTACACCTTTATTTAAAATGTCTTTTACATCAGGAAGGAAAATATTGTATAACTATTGAAGATGAGCACATCACAACATGAATAATTCATCTGAGTGTAACGTTATGTGTGTTGTGCTCTTATGTAGGATAATTCACTGTTGTCAACACTGTTTACATTAGACAAATGTGCTATAAAGAAGGCAAAATAAACAAATCTATAAAGTAACTAAACATGATATTTAATTTGTCCCTTATTAGTGTTGATATATTGAGTAACATTTAAGTTGGATTAAAAGTGAGTTAACACTTCAATCTCAGCCTATACATGCAGTGTTGAGTTTGTAATGTGAATCTTGTCTGTATGTTACAGGGACAGAAGAACACATGTGTGTTTATCCGGTGGAGAGAGGCTCATGATGCTGAATGCTGTCATCAAAGGCTTTGAGTGAGTATACTACAGAAATGGATAACAAAATCTATTTAATCTTAAGTTGTAGTTTATTTGAATGATTGTAATTTCAAATGGAGAATTACAACACTTTTCTGATTCCTGATTTCTGTGCATTTGCTGCAGAGCTTTTGTGGTGGAGCAGGACCTGCAAGGAAAGATGATAGCAGCATTTGTTGGGGGGAAAAAAGGTTTTAGGGATTTTACTCAAATATAAAGTAAGGTTATTTTTAATACATAAATCAAACGACATTGTGCTGTTAAAATGACTTCTTTTGTTTAATGTTTGTGCATTTTTGTAGGATCTGAAATGTCTGCAGACTGGTATGAGCACTGAGGATGAGGAGCCCAGAGCTGAATCCTGGAAGTGGTGCCATGGATGAGACCCTCCATCTCTCCACCTGCCCTTACGAGAACCTCCATTTCTTCATCTGCCCTTATTGCCTCAGATTGTGAAGCGCTTGCAGTAGGATGTGGTGTTCAGCACCTGTAAATACATGCTTGTAGTTTGAATAAAGCTTTTTTTTTATGTGTTGTTGATTTGTATATGCATTTGTTTGTGATGATTACTTTTTATGTGTTCTTTTACTCATTTATTCATGTTTCTTATTGTTGTCAGTATATAAAATATAATTATTTAATTAATGTATGCATTAATGTCAATATCTCAGCTCTGGAAGGGTCTAGAGCCTCCATTTTTGCACTCAGGTCTAAGTCTCATGGCCCTCTATCAGAATCCAGAGTTTCAAGAAGATCAGAGCAACTCAAAATTTCGACCCGAAAAAAAAAACGACAGTGGTACCCCTGTCGTTTTTTTTTTTTTTGGTGCGAAAAAATAAGTTTCTCCAATCTTCTTGAAACTCTGGATTCTGATAGAGGGCCATGAGACTTAGAGCTGAGTGCAAAAATGGAGGCTCTAGACCCTTCCAGAGCTGACATATTGACATCCCACGTAGCATTTATGCCATTATAAATATTTCAATATCTCAGCCCTGGGAGGGTTTCGAGCCTCCATTTTTGCACTCAGGTCTAAGTCTCATGGCCTTCTATCAGAATCCAGAGTTTCAAGAAGATTGGAGAAACTTATTTTTTCGCAACAAAAAAAAACGACAGGGGTACCACTGTCGGTTTTTTTTTCGGGTCGAAATTTTGAGTTGCTCTGATCTTCTTGAAACTCTGGATTCTGATAGAGGGCCATGAGACTTAGACTTGAGAGCTCTGGGAGGGTTTAGAGCCTCCATTTTTGCACTCAAGTCTAAGTCTCATGGCCCTCTATCAGAATCCAGAGTTTCAAGAAGATCAGAGCAACTCAAAATTTCGACCCGAAAAAAAAAAACGACAGTGGTACCCCTGTCGTTTTTTTTTTTTTTTTTTTTGTTGCGAAAAAATAAGTTTCTCCAATCTTCTTGAAACTCTGGATTCTAATAGAAGGCCATGAGACTTAGACCTGAGTGCAAAAATGGAGGCTCTAAACCCTCCCAGGGCTGAGATATTGAAATATTTATAATGGCATAAATGCTACGTGGGATGTCAATATGTCAGCTCTGGAAGGGTCTAGATCCTCAATTTTTGCACTCAGCTCTAAGTCTTATGGCCCTCTATCTGAATCCAGAGTTTCAAGAAGATTGGAGAAACTTATTTTTTCACACCAAAAAAAAAAAAAAACGACACTGTCGTTTTTTTTTCGGGTCGACATTTTGAGTTGCTCTGATCTTCTTGAAACTCTGGATTCTGATAGAGGCCCATGAGACTTAGACCTGAGTACAAAAATTGAGGCTCTAGATCCTTCCAGAGCTGAAATATTGACATCTCTCGTAGCATTTATGCCATTATAAATATCTCAATATCTCAGTTCTGGGAGGGTCTAGAGGCTCCATTTTTGCTCTCAGGTCTAAGTCTCATGGCCCTCTATCAGAATCCAAAGTTTCAAGATGATCAGAGCAACTCAAAATTTCGACCCGAAAAAAAAACCGACAGTGGTACCCCTGTCGTTTTTTTTTTTTGGTGCGAAAAAACAAGTTTCTCCAATCTTCTTGAAACTCTGGGTTCTGATAGAGGGCCATGAGACTTAGACCTGAATGCAAAAATGGAGGCTCTAGATCCTTCCAGAGCTGAGATATTGACATCCCACCTAGCATTTATGCCATTATAAATATCTCAATATCTCAGCTCTGGGAGGGTCTAGAGCCTCCATTTTTGCACTCATGTCTAAGTCGCATGGCCCTCTATCAGAATCCAAAGTTTCAAGAAGATTGGAGAAACTTTTTTTTTCGCACCAAAAAAAAAAAAAACGACAGGGGTACCACTGTCGTTTTTTTTTTCCGGGTCGAAATTTTGAGTTGCTCTGATCTTCTTGAAACTCTGGATTCTGATAGAGGGCCATGAGACTTAGACCTGAGTGCAAAAATGGAGGCTCTAGACCCTTCCAGAGCTGAAATATTGAGATCCCACGTGGCATTTATGCCATTATAAATATCTCAATATCTCAGCGCTGGGAGGGTCTAGAGCCTCCACTTTTGCACTCAGGTCTAAGTCTCATGGCCCTCCATCAGAATCCAGAGTTGCAAGATGATCAGAGCAACTCAAAATTTCGACCCGAAAAAAAAAATGACAGTGGTACCCCTGTTGTTGTTTTTTTTTTGGTGCGAAAAAATATGTTTCTCCAATCTTCTTGAAACTCTGGATTCTGATAGAGGGCCATGAGACTTAGACCTGAGTGCAAAAATGGAGGCTCTAGACCCTTCCAGAGCTGAGATATTGAGATATTTATAATGGCATAAATGCTACGTGGGATCTCAATATCTCAGCTCTGGAAGAGATTTTGAGATCCCACATAGCATTCATGCCATTATAAAAATAGTGGGTTCGCGGATGGTGGAATTTTGGGACTGCGCTTGGTGCTACGGACCCCGGGGGGCCTGCTGAGTGCAGTAAAATAGTTTTTTTCACGCCAGGAACTTTAGTTAAAATGTAACACAAACATGTAAGTTTCACATTTGAGGGGGTTAAACCATGACATCTACACGTTTTCCAAGGTGGACCAACGTGATTATTTCACGTCTTGTTGTGATACCGGGTTGCAACACCAGGTGTGCCAATTTAGATTTATGATGTAGTTATCAAGTGTTTGTAAACAAAGCACATAGCTATATGAAAATACTCAATAAATTCAATGTTCTTTTATGTTGTGTGACGCAAAGCAGATTTTGAGTGACTAAGTTATTGTTTTCATGTATATTAATCTTATTTCAGAAACCTTGCACTGGTCGACTACCAATATTTCCAGTATGAACTTGTAATTGCTCATTGCTTATGTTCAGAAACCACAACCACCAACAAAAAGATGGGGTGTCCCGACCCAAATGATGATGACCTATGATAGATCTAATCGAATGATCCAAAACTGTCTAAACATTAAGAATTGTGTTACTAGTAACCAGAACTAACCTGTCATATAATAGTCCAGCAGGCTGTATCACCAATGACTCTAAGCTGGTAATCCCCATTACACTGGTGTGGTGTCCCAATGTACCTCTAATGCATGTCAAATGTATCTTTTATCTGCGAAGACCTTGAGCAGTAGCAGACAGCCACAAGCTTTGGCCCAAAGAAGCCAGACGTGTAAACACAGTAGTATTCTACTGAAGCAGTACATTCGCCATCATCCTATGACTCACCCTCGAGACTTCTGACTTGGATAAACAATTATCGGAATGTTAAGTTTATTTGATGGTTCTTTCGTCTATCTGTGGGCTGCTTGTTGGAGTTTGAACTCAAATTGTGTTTGTTTTGGAATTTGGCTTTGCTGTGTCAGGATTAAGTATTGTTTAACCATTTTTGGAAATGGCAGGTTTCACTTTTTCTTGTTGTGACCTTTAAGTGCATTTCCTGAAAAAAGAAAGATAGAAGACCTCATAAAAAGCAGAAAGTTTTATGACTCAGACTCAACAACATGCATATAATTATGACTTAGGTTCCATAACGAAATGCATTAAAGAAAATTTGTAGCACAGTATGTAAATATAAATGGCACCAAGTTCTATTAATTTACAGAGGTGGACAGTAACAAAGTACATTTGCTTGAGTACTGTACTTAAATGCACTTTTTGAGTATCTGTACTTTACTTGCGTATTATTTTTTTTCTGGAAACTTTTTACTTTAACTTCACTACATTTGAATGACAAAATCGTGCTTTATACTCCAGTACATTTCTGTCAAGGTCTTTGAGTAGAACATAACGTCAGTCAGGGGATGATTTTGGTTGCAGAGATTGCATTTTGCAAATCGGGTTGACGTTAGAACCCAATGTCAGCCCAATGTTTTGGTTGAAAATGAAACTCGGATTGCGATCAGAACACAACTGATGTTGGTTTCTGACTTCAACCGATTTTCATTTCATCATCTGTCCAAAGTTGGAGATTAACTTCAATATGACGTTGGATGGCATCAACCCAATTTTCATTTTCATTGTTGGGATTGGTCTTCTAATTGTGAATTTTGTCATTGTTTTGTAGCACAGCTTATAGAGTAAGGCTAGCATATTCATACTAAAAGCCAAAAAACTTTAAATAAGGCACTATTTGAGGGAACAGCCATTTGGGTGTCCGAATTGTGGACGTCATTGAGTGCACTTATTCAATCTCACATTCAATCCGATTACTGGAACTGTGTTCTAGAAATAATTTCGATATTGATACCAGGGTATTGGGGCGAAATCAACGTGAATATTATTACTAGTCTTCTCAACTAGATGTCATCCTTTTTTTCTACAACGGGGGGGGGGGGGGTCACTGGATTTAACCTATTTTAAAAGAACACACAAGGCATATATTAACATTCTTTAAATAATATAACAGCAAGAATAACACTGTATATAGCATCCCTATACTAACACAAAGAAACTTATTTAAAAGTAAGTGCAAAAGTAAAAGCATATGAATATTGGGGGTTTGAGGCACCGATACATGGACATTTCATACCAATCTGATTACAGCAAACTGGAGTCCAGTTTTAGTCGTTATTCAGTCTTAGCCTTTAGATCCATTTATGTTACCTGCACTGCTAATCATCACCTCATAGACTTGGATTGCATTTCAAAACAGGATCAGGGCTGGGGTCAGTTCAAGGTAAGAGCTGCCCATATATGGTCAACACATTGAACAAAAAATAAGCAAGATAGTTCAACTGAAAGCAGAACGAGAAAATGAGTATAGTGGTGATTTGGAATGAATCGACGTAATCTGTCTTTTACCTAAGGTCATAATCCTTTTAATAATGCAGTTGTCTAATAAAAATCAGAGACTAAAACACGCAGCACATGACTGATGCAGCATATCCATTTTCATCCTCACTTTTTACCCTTTATCATTGTATTATTTTCCTCATTCACATAAATATGAGGATAAATTGATAAATTACCCATTTGCCCAGATAAAGTCCTTAATGTTGCACCACTTGATGAGAAATAGGATCAATTTCAAAGGTAGTCCTGGTCATTAGCTTCACCTATGAAAGGAGACCTTAAGCGCACCACATGTTGAAATACTAACTTGCAGCACAGTTTGCCTTTCGTTTGATATGTCTTTTGTGTTGCATGACAGAGATTACGCTTGTGAGTGATATTCATATCAATCACCTATATCAGTACAGAGGGGCCGCCTGCAAAAAAACCCCCCAAAATATTCTAATGATACAATACATTAAACATTTTATAAAAAGTGGTTTGGTTCGGAGAACCTTCATAATTCATACTGCAATGACGCCTCAGCTGTTGCGGCGTACCTCTGTTGCATGAGAGAAAAACAGCTCGAACGATTAACTTTGATTGGAAACGTGAAACTAATTATGCAACATTTGTGTTTGATTGATTCAAACGATGTTTGTGTGATTGATTGTGATTGGTGCTGGTATTTCTGCTCATGTTACACACATTTGATTCAGCGATTAATCAAACAGAAATTTTAGATCAGTACAGGCTTCCAAGACACTGACACAATTAGCGAGTGAATCAGGTTAAGAAATAGCCCCATTCGAGGTTGCTTATACGTTAAACAGATCACATTAATCAGTCATTCGGTGTTTAGCTACTTACGACTGACAACATTAGGTCACAAACCCTTTAACCGCTGTATTTCCTATGCGAAATTAGAGTTTGTTTAGTATCTGCTATACTGTAAAAAAAAAAAAAAAAGAAAAGAAGTGGGCGGATTAGAAACGAAAACATCTGCACTTTGAGAGAACTGACATTGAAATAAATTGTTGGGACAAGTGGCAAACATAAATCTTCAGTGTTTTTGGCCACTGATGTTTAATTTGACTCAGTGCCTATAAATACGAATTCCAAACTGCATAATCCGTCAGTCGGTCTGATTTAGGTATGGACAGATCGCTTTTTGTATAAATTGCATGATGTTTTTAGCGATTTGTGATGTTGGAATGGATCCTTGCTCTTGAAGTCTCCTCCCACAGCACAGCTGAAGAATATCTAACACTGTCTCCAGCCGTCAGGAATGCCGACCCTCTCGGGTTATGACCCGTAATTAATTGTTTTGAGGGTCTGGCTCCATGTTCTTGGCGTTTGGAGTTGCAGTATGGGAAGGGTATAGCGTTCTCTCAGATATCCAAATTAGATTTGTACTGTTGTTCCAGCGGTCACCGGGCAAATTGAGAGGTTCCCCCTCCAGCCTCGAAAGCGGTCGATAACTTATAGAGACGTCTAGCCATGACACGCAAACGTCTGACATGCTTTTCAAGTGAATGTAAAACACACTGTCTGATGGACAGCCCAGGCTCATGAGTGATAAAGCACAGGCCAGGGGTTTTGGAGTTGTGTTTTTCTATTTATTTTCAAAGGTGGGCAGCCAAGACAAATGTTCTAAATGCAATTCAATCTTAAAAATTCAAGGGAGCTTTTGCTTGGACCATCCGAAGCAAACCGTAGAAGCCTCGGGCCAACATGTAAATCTCTCTCTGACAAATGTTCAGTGAGTCATCAGCGAAGGTTTTGATTGGCAAACTGATAATTTTAGTCATTTCAATGTTTCCTACCAACAGAAGGTTGAGAAGTTGGCTCTCTGGTTCAGTTTCTCTAAATGAAGATGGATGCATTACATCCATGTACACAATATTCTCCTCTTAGATTAGCACTCCAAATTTCATAATTCTATTTCGAATCATATTTTAGCCCTTGTATGCTGGCATGGCATGACTGTCAGCAGAAACTGTCTGACTAGCTCTTGTGTTGTGGTTACAATCAGCCATTTGCAACAGAGCATCGTAAACAAACAAATTAGCCCTATTATGACTCCCATTGGCGTGCATATGTGTTGTGTATATGTATGTTAATCCAGTCTTGGATGAGGTGGAGATCTCATTCCTTTGTGCTGTGTTCATGAACCAAGCCTTGCATGCTCAGGGAGGGACCCAGAATCCTACACTCCTCTTCTCGTGGCACGAAAGCCTATTGTGTGTCCCCCACCTCTGAAAGAGGCAGACAGATAACCTCCCCGCACACAAAAGGCATGCGCGATGAGGGCAACACAAGCCCGCCGTGATTTCAAGCTTGCCTCTGGGCTGCTTCAGCCACCCGCGAATACAAAGGCGGCTCAGCTGTGATAAAAGCGTTGAGAAGTGTTGTTTTGGTTGTTTTTTGGCAGCCACCCTTACTGATTCATCCTTGACTCCCCGAAAAAAAAAAAAAAAAACGTCCCTTTCAATTAAAGGCGACGTAAATGGATCCAATCACTCACTATAGTGGCCGTTTCAGAGAATACCATCAGTGCAAATTCCTCTAGTGGTGTTGCACCATGACCCGCATAAGAGGCTGAGTTCTTTCACTGTCTATGGACAAAACAGACGGAGAATGATGTTTTCCTTTTCATGCCCAGGCTCTGAAACCCCATCCCTCTTTTCTGGTGTCAGTCGTTCTTTTGCGTCGGCCAGCGGTGGCTCCCTTTGACACGGTGGTGGTTATCCTCTTGATACCTGATTCCAAAGAGAGTCTGCTCACTCGGCCATTTGTTCTCCCATCACCTTTGCTCCAGTCTGTGTGATAGCCAGGCTAAGTGACCCCCATCCACCTGCCTGTTGGAAAAATCAAGGTTAAGCTGGTTGCTGCTGGTTCAACAGGATTACTACCTGGTCAGATTTTGGTCATTAACTGGCTCAAGCTTCTCATTAGCTTTTCCACAATAGTTATTTAATCATAAGCTGGTCAAACTTGACCAATAGTAAGTTTAGACATTCTACCAACTATAATTAGTTGACATGTAGTTGCAGAGTTACTGCGAGTATTAGAGCAGCACACTCATAAGAGAATTAGTTGATTGTTAAGGTGGGTAGCACTGTCACCTCACAGCTAGGTCTCTAGTTCGAGTCAAGGCTGGGCCAAGGGTTCTTTCTGTGTGGAGTCTGCATTTTCTCCCTATTTCAGAGTGGGTTTCCTCTGGGTGCTCACCCACAATCAAATATATGTTTATTTTTAAAATTCAGTATTGTAATTGGGAAAGCCCAGGCAACCTACCCCGGTAAAATAATTTCAAAGTAAATTCATGGTCAGTCTCTCGCCAATGGCAAGAGATGACTGGAATAGTTAATGAGAGAGTAAACTGTTAGGTTTTGGTTCCAGTTACTTTGGGGCAAAGTTATTTATGGTTAGTAGAATGTCTAATATAGACCATCAAAATAAAGTGTTTCCTAAGTTTGTACCAAACTGGTCATTAACAGGTCCAATCTGGTAATGAACAAGTCCAATTTGGTCGTTAGCTAGATCAAACAGGTGATCTAGCTTGGTCATTAGCTGTATCATAATGGTTAACTTTTTCTGTTTGGTCATTAGCTAGACCAAACCGGTCATTAACATGTTCAGTCTGGTCCTTAGCTGGTTAGGGCTGGTCATTATCTGGTACTAATTATTAACTGGTTCAGTTTGATCACTAGCCGTTTAAAAATGGTTATTAATTTGTTAAATTCAGACCAGCAAACAACTCGGTTGCACCACTTTTACACATTCGGACCATCTAATAACCATCTTTGACCAATTCAAAAGTCAGCTAATTGTGAGTTTAGACCAATTAATAACCAGTGTAAAATAACCAATAAACCACTTAAAATCAGTTTGGACGAGTTAATGGCTACCTTGGACTAACCAATAACCAGCCTGGAGCCCTTGACAACCAACTTGGACCAGCTAGAAACCAGCTGTTCCAAAAGACAGCTAAAAGTTTAAGTTTGATTTCCCAGATGTTACAGAAGTTAAAACAAGAGAGTATGTATTTGTTGTTTGTGTTCTCACCAAGCTCTCACCAACAAGACAGAATGGGAATCGCGTCATCTGTTCCACTTTATTCTTTAAATCCACCGTCTCACACAGACATACCTGAAAAACAGACACAAAGGGTGCTCCCCAGGCCTCCCAGATACAGGATACCTCTGGCAGATAAATCCTCGGGGATTTCGACTCCATTCCAAGGCTTCTTTTCAAGCATTTCTTAAGGGATTCTCACGGAAATCTTCTGAACTCGGCAGATAAGAGGCACCTCTCCTGACAATCCAAAGTGGCTGCCATGTCACGGAATGAGATAAGGACAGTGGAGATGTTGCTGAGGGACAGTGATGAGTGATGGCATTGACTATAAAGAGCTAAACACTTCACAACTCTTTAAACCACAAGACCAGCATTTCGACGGATTTTCACAATGAGCACATTGTCAAAGAATGTCATAATGTAATTATCATAATCCATCTCTCACAATGTGCAACTAGCAAACATTCAAGAATGTCAAAATTTATACAACAAAAATGAGGGATGTTACCTATTGAGTTTCTCTGGAATTATCTAGACAAAAACAAATCATATAAAAGGTAATAAAATTACATATATCGACATCTAAACCCAATCTAAACAGGACAGAGGCATGATGGAATTAACAGTATGTTTAAGAAACTGTTACACTTGATTCTACATAAAGCCATTCTCTACAAGCTGTGAAGAAACTCAGTTTATCTTGACCACATCTGGAGCTAGATGCTATCGCAATACTAAAGCCATGATATTCCTACAATTCACTATTGTTATTTCTCTTCATTTAATCTGAGGCAACAAATCAAGCATGCCAATTCCCAAAAAGATCTATTAATCCTTATCCTGTTAACGGTCACCCCCATTTTTGAGAATGCTCATTAAAATGCACTATTCAGACTTAAATGGTTGTAATTCAAGAAGGCTTTGGAATATAGACCCAAGTTTGGTCTTGTTTTAAACAAGACATTCAGCAGATTATATTATTAGTGAAAGCGCTTCAAAAAATTGCAGTATGAGGTTTAAGTTTTACAGTAAATCAAATATACTGTACTTAATGTTTTTTCTTTTATATAAAATATATATTTCACAAAATATCTTTTACTATAAAAACCAAAGCCACATATTTAACCCAGCTGTGCTCCAAATTTGAAGTTATCACAAAAATTTTAAGTTCCCATTAGATTTTGTTTAGGCGTAATACCGAAAATAGGCACCGGGTGACATACAGTACATTCCATTGCATTTTAATGGCACGGTTTTCTGCCGTAACAACTTATTCAATTTCTGTCCAAATATCACTTCTGTCACAAAATGACGATGTATTTTGTCAATTTTAGAAAAGGTTTTGATAATAAATTATAAAACATGATGATGCCCAAAAGGATCATCAGCCTGATAAAAGAATTTAGAGTACTGTCACTATAGTAACACAACGTCTAATTTCAAAAGTTTCAAAGAATGAATTATTAGTTCGTAAGCTTTCACACGATACCTAATTTATGATAAGTACTAAAATATATGATGTAATAAAAAAGGCGATAACAAAATATTTTAGATTATATATATATATATATACACACACACACACATATACATGCATGTATATACAATTATATATATATATATATATATATATATATATATATTTGTAAAACAAATCGTAAGATTTGTTTCACATAGTCTGGAGCTGGTTCAAACAGCTGTGTGGTTATCTACGGCCCGTGTAAAACACCCTGGTCAGCATCAATCAACTCCTCACTACTGTACAGGTCCAAAAATACAGGTCTGAATGTAAGGAAACAAACAATGTACTGAGAAAAACTAAGCAGTTCATGTTTCCTCATCTCAGCCACACTTCAACAAAGCCTTCAAATGCTGGGATGTTAAGTTATCTTCATGAATTACCCTATTTGTTTCCCTCATGATGTACATAAGTTACTTGACTTTAACAGAAAACAGAGGGGTTTAAATATATTGTCGAAAGACATGGATGTGCGGGTTCATTCTGTCAACACAGACAAGGTTGGATTCCATCATTGACAGTGTATCTGCCGTATAAGGTAGAATATTCAAAGTCCTCCGCCTGAGTCCAATTAGATTTAAGTCAAATATGGATCTAAAAAGCTTCTCATGTACACAGTTTAAGCAAGTGATATTTGATTCAAGACACCGTAGGAAGTCTATTGTTTCTCTGGAAATGAGACTTATTTAACGTAAGGAGGTGCTTAAGAATTTCTTTATGATTTACAATCTTCATAAGCATCTTTATTTGCAGTTCTAATTTTGCCATCCAGAAACATCTATAACCATGACTCCTGCTATTCAAGATGCATCACTACAGTTTCAGGGCAAGAAAAACTAAAGTAAAAAAAAAAAAAACTTGTTATAAAAGGCGTAGTTTCAACAACAACAAAATAGCTAAAAAATAATTATAATGCAACAATCTGATCTTGTTACCAACAGAGAAAAAGCATGTAAAGAGGTAAAATACATTGTCAATGAAAAAGTCATCCGAGGAGAAAAAGTTACAGCTCAGAAACAGCACTGCCTACTGGTGAAGACTCAAAATAACTACTTGCCTGTTCTCACAAAATGTTAGTGACATTATCAAGCTATTCTTCAGAAGAAAACAAACAAAAAAATGCACTCTTTTATGTTAATCTGGCATAGATGCGTCTGAGGTTTGTGTGAAGGTCAGTCAGGGATGCTCTCTGCACTAAGGTCAAAATGTGGTTCCAAGTTTAGAACTACTAACCATATTGGTGTAAATATTTTGTCCCTGGCTAATACTGCACAAACACTTTCAAGTCCAGGAGATTTACAGCCTTGACATTATAGTTCTGATCCAAACTTTCCAAACAACAAAACGCTTCAGCTGTGAACATCTGGCTATATGTAGCTACATAAACACTGCTATATATAATGCACTACTGTTCTAAAGTTTTTTTCCTCAGCAAGGAAGCATGAATTGATCGAAAGTTACAAGCAAAGACATTTTTGGGACTTTTATTTCCACAAAAAAATGTTGATAAGAATGTTTGACCGTCAAATCAGCATATTAGAATAATTTAGCAAGGATCATGCGACACTGAAGAATGGAAAATTGATCCTGAAAATTCAGCTTTGCCATAAATTACATTTTAAAACGGTGATTTTATATTTGAATCTATTTTTACAATATTACCAGGTTTCATAAAAAAAATACAAAAATAATAAAAATCTACATTTGATTTGCCCCCTTCTCAAAGCTGCAAGCTTGCCCTGTCCATGAACTCCACAAGTTTGTATAAAACCTGATGGTCCAGAATTATTTTAGATGATCCAAAGAGACTGTCCTTATAGCACCTTTGCATTTGTTATCTTTAGCTTATACATACAGCATGGGATAAGTACAAAGCATTTACATCAATAAAACAGTCTACAATTAAAATGACGATCTGCTCTCAGACAACATGCACTCATGCATAGTAACATGTAATATCCTCTCCACTTCTAATATACAAACTCACATACACCCTATTGCTGATAACAGCACTGCCAAATCCATGTGCGCTGTTTACTAAAAGCTCCCTCTGTACAGCAGGCCAGAACTCCTCTGCAAAACCTCAAAAGAATACAAAAAAAAAAACACACACACACACTCCACATCTTTGACATTAACCGCTCAATTTTAGCCAACGCTTCACATTCAGGGAATTTAGACAATAAAAGCATCTTAAAAGGACACTTGAACTGAAATGTCAGGCCTAATAGCCAGGATACGGTACGACGAGGCTTGTACCTTGTCAACATTTATCTTTATTTTAAGAGTGATATGGTTTGGACGAATGCTTTTAAGAGCATCTGCGCAGCAGCTTACAAGAGGTCTTTGGAGATACTGTTTGTGCGCAGTTATCCCCTGCGTTTTAAATCAGAGTAATGTTTAGCCGGCCGAATGATGAAAGGGATTTATATTCGCTGCATCTGGTGCTCTGTGTACTTAAACTGTTAAAAGAGCAGAACAGGTGGAACAGGTGGGCACGATACCGGACATATAGAGAGATGATCAACTGTTAGACACCCTTTTTATCTGCAGTCACAGCTTCCTTTGGGGATTAAGATTAGATGCCGCCACACAAATTAATAGATTGTGTGCAGGCATGAAAAATTGCCAAGACAAGTGCCACTAGGTCATTAGTTACTGCTCATATTTAGACTAAATAGATATTTTGTTTTTAATTCTGCGATGATTTGTCTTTTTTGGGGGGGGGGGGCATGTGAATCCAGCACATACTAAATGGAGCACATTAAGCCTAGTGTGCACAGTAATTTGGCGGAACTGGATTCGATTCTATCTGGAATCGAGATGTGGGTTCATGGAAAGGAGCATCAGTGATGATCTCCAGGAATGTAGATTGAGTAAGAGTCCAGCAGGGGGAAGAAAGCCACATCCTTTGACATCATTGAGACAAACCACATAGTAATTTTCACATTTGCGGTTAAGGAACACAGTGTGCCTAGCTAGCTCCAATCATATTTCATCTGGTGTTGTTCAGCACTTTCAGCACTGGATATAACTTGTAGGGTAATGAAACAGTCATGAAGACCCATTTAAACTGCTTTCAGAAAGCTGCAGAGAACTCTTCTGCAAAACCTATTAGCGTGGCCACAAACATCTACAAGAGCCTCCAGGACATTGGAAGGGCTGGAATCAAGAGAGATAAAGCACATAAACTGCTGAAACTGATAGATGGACCAGACATGGAGAACCAAACTAAAAATGAATTAACTAGTAATAGCTGGAATGTGTTTTGCCCCGTCACAAACGTCCCATACCTTGACTCGAAGTAAATAAATAAAAGCTTGTTTTGAAGCTTTTTATAGCTCTTTAAAGCACTTTCCCAAAAATCCCTCACCTCTTAAGAGAGATTGGGAGAAGGAGCATGGAGATACCATCATGTCTGAGTGCCACTTGTTGCAAAGGTGAAAGAACCCACATGGAATTGATATCAGATGAACCATCTCAACCCTTAATTCTAGACATAAACGAGAGAAAAAAAACCACAGGTAACCATGAAACTGACAATGGGTAATCACTGTCACTTGTGCGCAGATAGAAGATGCAAGTGGCTTCTTCAACAGCCTAATCTAGGCATTGTGGTGCCCGCAACATAGAAGGCATGCGATATTGAGAAATGAATGATCGTTCGTGCCATCGGTTCTCTTATCAGGATGTTTATTAAGAGGGATGTTCTGATACAGTGAAGAGAGAAAAAAACATTTCACAGTATGACATTTCCTCACCATGGCACAATGAAACATCTGAAGACCCTCCTCTCTCCCATGTATTGCGTCAAAGCAGAATTACCAAAGCATCCTTTCTACGCAAGAACCTGTGTACACGAACCAATCCTGAAGTGGGAGGGAATGCTAAACTCTCATATTAACCCAAATGATGTTCGATAAATACTTCCTTTTCTTTGCAGCAATTTATTCCCTTTTCACATATTCAAACATTCCTGAACCAGATGATATTCAGCATCTAAGCTGCTGCTTATTTCCAAAAAAAATGTACCTTCCTACATCCAAAAAATCTACATTGAGGAACAAACTACGTGCCCAATGCAGCTCAGTTTGAGGTGAACATAAGCGGAGGAGTGTGAGAACGGGGATTGTTTTGGTCGAGTTGAAACTGTGGAGAGGTAGGGTCGTTGTAATGATCTAGTTCCTGTATCTCATAGGATCCATTCCATTAAATCCCAGTGGTTAAATTACAGAACATCTATTCAAATCCCTGTCAAATACTGCAGAGGATTATTGCTGGGAACAAATTTGAGAGGACAACAGGGCAGATATACAGTAACTCCTCATACTAACATCAGCACTACAGTGACATTCACTTGATTTAAGAGTGGTTGGGGAATACAAATCATCTTTTGAATGAGCCATAGGTGTTTGGGATTCTGTGCGTAAATCAAGAGATATTAGCTAGAACTTCACTTAAACTCAGTTACGATCCTTCAAAAAACGTGCGCATCTGAAAAGGTTGATTGCTTGCTTGGAACACCACAATATACCACCAGCTGGTCACTTAATGCACATGGTAAGTTCACAAGATATAAACAATTAAGCATGAAAAGGGAAAAAAGCATATAGTTTGGAATAGTCCATGGCTTTCAAACAAATGAGTGTATGCCAACACATGTGCATGTATGTAACACGTATGCTAACACTACCACCCTGTTTCTAAAAACTGATTGCTAAGCTATATAAAAATTGAACTATAATACATACAAAGCCAGATGAAAACTGGTTGGATTTATTCATTAATACTAATTAACGTGATTTTGCAATGCTTTTTTCCCCTTTGACCTATTTAACTGGGGGACCCAAAAAAAAAAACATTTAATGAAAAGAAAAATAAACCGAAGTTCTGTAAAATACAGAATAAACTACATATCTACAGTTTAATAATGAATATGGGTAATTAGGTGCTTGATTCTGGTAGTGCTAATTTATATCTAACGGTTTATTGGGTTTGTTCAATCTCATCTCTGTAACTCATCTGGTGCAAAACCAGGTCAGATCTTCTCTTTTCTCTCTAGCCCTCACGGACCTTGGCAGACAGAGCATCACAAGTCTTCTTGGCATCTCCCAAAAGCATGGATGTGTTTGGTTTGTAGAAGATAGGGTTGTCCACAGCGGCATAGCCAACTCCCAAAGATCTTTTCATCACGATGATCTGGAGGGATGAAAACGGAGTTTGATGCATTTTGTCTTATTAGGGAACAAAAAAAAAAAAACGGTACCTTATGGAAGAAGCTAGAAATTGTCGCATTTAAGATTATCAATGGCATTTCCTTTGAGTTGAGCAAGCTAATACAATCCGTTTCAACATTAAATCTGTAAAAATATTGGATGCACCTACACATGAAGTGGCAGGGAGAATGGCTTTATGATTTCTACAAGAGGGCGCAAAAAGAGCCCAAGCTTCCAACATGTAATGGCTATTTAAGTATCTGCCATTTGCAAAATTAAGAGTCATTAGCGTCTCAAACACCAGTTTTTAGGCTGAGCCGGTTCTGGGAAAATCGTCGAGAGCAGTGCTTTGATTGGGAGCATCTGTTTTGGAAGGAGGAACACTTGGTAATTGAATAAGTAAAACCAGAGAGGAGAGCCCTTGCCGCTGGTCTAGCTTTAGTGTTATTCAATACACACAGATATTTGGAACGAATTGACCCTCATCTTGAGACTTCAAAATCAGCAGGCGGATCCTTGTAATATCATCATCATCTGTCCCTCAAAAGCCCTGCAGATGTTCGATGCCAGGCAGGTGATCGGGATGGCGTTCAAACAAACCCAACCGCTCCTCAAAAGAGTCATGTGACCACTTTACCCAGCCTCAGCATCCCCCAGGACAGGACAACATCCTTTTGTTAAATTATTCATAGGGCAGCTGGTTTCATTTGGGAATGAGGTTACACATGAAGGTCTCTAACAAGGCTGGGAGCAATCAGAAGGGGTGGATGTTGCACGAGATTGACTATAACAAACCAACGTAGACAATCGACAGGGAAACTTCATATTCTGCTGTGCTATCGTGTCATCAAAAGCATCACTAGGTTCCAAGTTGGTCGAGTGCTCTTGTTGAGGCTACATATCCAAGTTGCTACAAATAAGGAAGGCTTTAGTTCAAAGCTCTAGTGTTTGTAAATTCCATATGGAATTATGGAACCTGTTAACAGGCTACACGCAAATACTCGTGGGAGAAGATCTACGTATTTACACATTTTTGAACGTCAAGCCCCAGTACTTCAAGTGATTTCCCCAGAGAAGATCTGGCTACAATGGGCCTAATGGGCCTGTCATGTGGTGAGGCATACCAGCCCAGCATTTTTGGGAAAGTATCGGTCGGATGCTCTGAAATGTCATCATTCCAGAAAGAGCGAGTCAGCGCTAATGAAAGCAGCGTGAGGCTGTCTTGCTGAAGATACACCTGGACTGTAGCATGGTTACAAAGGGAACCAGCTGTGGGGATGGGATGGAGATTTTCATATCGCTCAGGGTGGAAAAATTAGGAATGGTCTGTATTACAAAACCTGAGGGCAATTCCTGCAATCTTGCCTTTTATTCCAGATAGACCATAAAAGTAAAGCCTGATCCAAATCGAGTATGAAGTATATCATGTACACTTAAATTTTAAAGTCTCTTATTATCACCAAGGCTCCATTTATTTGAGCAAATGCAGTAAAAACAGTAATATTGTGAAAAGGGGCTGTGCGATGTGACAATATATATCGGATGGACGAAATAAAGTCTATCGTTTCATATTATGCTCTATTGGTTAAGTCGTGGTGTCGCAAAAAAAAAAACATTGTTTAAGGCAAAACTTGAACTTAAGACAAAACGGGTGGCTCCGAGCAGGACCAGCCAGAACAAACAGAGCTCGTTCCTAAACGAGGGGCTACCCCTGTAGCATGAACATGGTTTGGATAAATTTCTCTGTTTGGTTGACTATTTTATTTGGATAATGAACATGCTGCGATGTCAAGTTAACAATGCTAGAACGTGAGGCGTCGGTGCCTCAAAAAATTTTTTTTTGCAAGACTATAATTTTATTTAAAGGTTGCCAGATTTTGACTAAAAATATGCTCACCTGCTTGGACTTCCAAACCTCCAAAACAGGCATGCCAGCAATAATCGAGTTAGGGTCCTCCTGGGCTGCTGAGTTAACCGTGTCATTGGCTCCAATTACCAAAACCAGATCCGTTTCTGAAAAACAGATAATGAAAAGAAAGATGAATTTTACATCCCTCCGAAAAAAGGGCAAAAACCAGCAAAAATGTATATCATACCAGGGAAGTCTTCATTGATTTCATCCATCTCCAGCACAATATCATATGGCACACCAGCTTCAGCTAGCAGTACGTTCAGTTGGCCTGGCATACGACCAGCCACAGGGTGGATTCCAAACCTGAACACAAAACAAACTCACGATATAGATCACATGACCTTTTGGATCCTCTAATACACACATGGCATCCAAATTAAGCACTTTCTGGCAGTGCAGGTCAGGATGACTTTTCATACACCATGAGCAGGAGTCTTTGAACACAGTTAGGTAGATGTACTTTGGGGTCAGGCTGTTTGCAAGAGGTTAACAGAGAAGGAAATAAGCACTGGCTGAGGGTATCTTTTTAATGAAAGGTAGTAAAGTGCATGAGCTCAGGGGAAATGGCTTGAAGATGAGTGGACCCTCAGGTCACGGGGGTAGCTTTACAACTTCACTGTAAAAACAGATCACAGCCAAAAGGCTTAGGAGAGACAGGAAGTGATGTTCCTGCTTTTTTAACTTATGTAAATTTGTTCCATTTTTATTTGATGTTTACACAGCCGTCACATATGCTTTTAAAACAAAAAGAAACCAATACTACAATTTTCATGTTTAACTTTAACAAAGCCAGGTCACCTCAAAATCCTTTTTTATATACCTTTACAATGTTTCCAAACGAAACAATAGGGTCTTAACCATACCTGTGGTGTCCAAAGCTGTTTGGATAAAGTAGTAAAAGAAATGATCAACCTCCAGACCCAAACAATGTAAAGTTTTTGGAGATTTTTGTTTAAATCACTTACAGTGCGCATCTATTGGCGCGGAGCAGATTGAGCATTTTCAGTTCTTTCCTATGGAACTTTATGCTCAATTGAAAACACAAACTCTGCTTGGACACGCACGCACCGCTACAAATGCCAGAGTGCATTTTACATACACATACATATACACGTATATACCCATACATACACAGACACACATATACACATACAGTACACACTCACCTAAAGGATTATTAGGAACACCATACTAATACTGTGTTTGACCCCCTTTCACCTTCAGAACTGCCTTAATTCTACGTGGCATTGATTCAACAAGGTGCTGAAAGCATTCTTTAGAAACGCTGGCCCATATTGATAGGATAGCATCATGCAGTAGATGGAGATTTATGGGATGCACATCAAGGGCACAAAGCTCCCGTTCCACCACATCCCAAAGATGCTCTATTGGGTTGAGATCTGGTGACCGTGGGGGCCATTTTAGTACAGTGAACTCATTGTCATGTTCAAGAAATCAATTTGAAATGATTCGAGCTTTGTGACATGGTGCATTATCCTGCTGGAAGTAGCCATCAGAGGATGGGTACATGGTGGCGATAAAGGGATGGACATGGTCAGAAACAATGCTCAGGTAGGCTCTGGCATTTAAACGATGCCCAATTTGGCACTAAGGGACCTAAAGTGTGCCACGAGAACATCTTCAACACCATTACACCACCACCACCAGCCTGCACAGTGGGAACAAGGCATGATGGATCCATGTTCTCATTCTGTTTGCGCCAAATTCTTACTCTACCATCTGAATGTCTCAATAGAAATCGAGACTCGTCAGACCAGGCAACATTTTCCCAGTCTTCAACTGTCCAAAATTGGTGAGCTCTTGCAAATCGTAGCCTCTTTTTCCTATTTGTAGTGGAGATGAGTGGTACCCGGTGGGGTCTTCTGCTGTTGTAGCCCATCCGCCTCAAGGTTGTGCATGTTGTGGCTTCACGAATGCTTTGCTGCATACCTCGGTTGTAACGAGTGGTTATTTCAGCCAAAGTTGCTCTTCTATCCGCCTGAATCAGTCGGCCCATTCTCCTCTGACCTCTAGCATCAAGGCATTTTCGCCCACAGGACTGCCGCATACTGGATGTTTTTTCCCTTTTCACACCATTCTCTGTAAACCCTAGAAATGGTTGTGCGTGAAAAATCCCAGTAACTGAGCAGATTGTGAAATACTCAGACTGGCCTGTCTGGCACCAACAACCATGCCACGCATTAAATTGTTTTGAGGGAGTGTGCAAATGGCATGCTGACTGCAGGAATGTCCACCAGAGCTGTTGCCCGTGAATTGACTGTTCTTTTCTCTACAATAAGCCGCAAAGGCGTTTCAGAGAATTTGGCAGTACATTCACCCAGCCTCACAACTGCAGACCCCGTGTAACCACACCAGCCAAGGACCTTCGCATCCAGAATTTTCACCTCAAAGATCGTCTGAGAACAGCCACCCAGACAGCAGCTGCAACAATCGTTTGGAATAGTCACAGAATTTCTGCACAAACTCTCAGGGAAGCTCATCTGCATGCTCGTCATCCTCATCGGGGTCTCAACATGACTGCAGTTCGTCAGGGCAGATGGCAGACAGCATATATGGTGTGTGGGTGAGCAGTTTGCTGATGATGTCAGCTTTGTGGATCGAGTGGCCCATGGTGGCGTTGGGGTTATGGTATGGGCAGGCGTATGTTACAGACAACGAACACAGGTACATTTTATTGATGGCATTTTGAATGCACAGAGATACCGTGATGAGATCCTGAGGCCCATTGTTGTGTCATTCATCCATGATCATCACCTCATGTTGGAGCATGAACATGCACGGCCATGTTGCAAGGATCTGTACACAATTCCTCAAAGCTGAAAACATCCCAGTTCTTACATGTCCAGCATACCCACCACACAAGTCACCCATTGAGCATGTTTGGGATTCTCTGGACAGCGTGTTCCAGATCCTGCCAATATCCAGCAACTTTGCTCAGCCATTGAAGGAGTGGACCGACATTCCACAGGCCACAATCAACAACCTGATCAACTCTATGCGAAGGAGATGTGTTGCACCACGTGAGGCAAATGGTGGTCACACCAGATACTGACTGGTTGTCGGAACATCATTTAAAAAGGCAAGCATATTAAAATAAAACAAAAACATTTAAACCATATGAGAAAACTGAGAAAAACAAAATTAATTTACATATAATTAAAAAAAAAAACACATAGACATCATTAACATTCAAAAACAAAAATAATAAAGAGTAATTGACCATTTAAAACATTAAAAGGAGGGAAATTGTTTCTAAAATAAATTTATTTGATATAAAACAACCACATGGATCCCATTAAATAACTAAATTGTAGAATCATCACAAGGGTAATGATGATCACAAACATGAATGTGCACCTTTAACCAATTTACCTCACCAGTCACTAAAACTAGCTCACTTCACTTCTGACCTTGTTCAAATTAACATGTCCGAGTTGTTTACTTTGTAATTAGTCAATTTCCAGAGCATTCAGGCTAATTTGCACGACATATTTAAACACTATTTGAACTCATATTAGTTTTATTTTACACTAATGTCAATCATTTTCTCTACAAAATTAAGCCAGCGCTACCTCAATGCAGAAAATATCCAAAGCCGTAACTGAAAAAGTGGTCTTGTTCAGTTGAAGGTGGCTATTTTTCCAACAAGATGTGCCGTGACCACTTGCAAAACAAAGACCACATCATTCTTGCAGTTGCTTTCCATCAAATCATCAGTTTCCTTCAAGTAAACTTATTTATCAAACAGGAAATGAGGAAAAAAGGTTCAATAATAAACCAAACAGAAATATACTTAAGTGGACAGGCCTCAAAACTTTCGAGACATGGGGTTTGTCCGTCGGCTCTAACGCTGGCTTACATAAGCTGCAGCTGCAGTGTGTGCACAAAACAGTCTGGACGGACAATGGGTCCAAGCTCAGCTATTCCATCCAAACCAGCCCGATTGTCCTGCTATTCCCATCACTATCACGCTGTGTTTCACCACGCTGAAACAACACATGCTCTGAAAATATCTGCAATACCTTGCAGCCCAAAGGAAATTTAGACCGCTGTGCTATCCTTCCCCTACTTTCAACCAAATCTTTCCAACTCTACACTGCACCAAAAACAAATGTAATGATATGGAGAGAAAGAAACATAATGGGAATGATAAGGAGACCGTTTACACAGTGTCAGTTCTGCTCAAAGTCCTCTCAACAGGGCGACACCCATAGCCAATTATCCTGAAGAAAGCGTGGGGGAGAGTGGCGGGTGCGCTACCTAATCTGTCCACTATTTGGCCACCCATCTCCCCTTCTAATCAACTGCAAATGCTCTAATTGGCAGCAGCTGTTGGGCTCTCAGATCAAACAAATGGACGAAAATTACACAAGCTTCCGGTCTGCATCTCTCCTCCACAGTCACACAGTGCCTGCAGCTCTAGAGAGAGAGAGAAAACAAGAATCTAGCATTTGTGACAAACAGTCAAGTTGAATTTGTCAATTTGTTTCATTCAGATGCCACCTTGTCAGATCTAAGTATCTTATGAAGTGCATTATGGGAAATGGTACTGAAGCTCATGATAAAATTGCAAGGAACAATAATCTGATGCAGGACGCAACAGTCTCCATCAACGGGATTGCACTTGAGCAAAACTGCACTGCCGACCACTACTTCACCTTTTAAGTGTACAAGATGGGTTGGTAGCACACCATGACATTCTGGTTAAAATGAGTCCCTTCGTTAAAAAAAAAATGCTGAGGGAAACTTTAAGTCACAGATGATGCCATAATTGGCTCCTCTCACTGCCAAGAGTGTGGTGAAACTAGGCTAGTGCTGACAACCACTATCTAGTGGGAACAGGGCAACAAAAGCATTGACACCATCTAGTGAGAGACAAAAAGAGAGAGGGCCATAGTGGTTAGCTGTAGCCATACAAAGAGTACATTCAAATCAGATGGCCATTTATAAAGCACCTTCCTTCCAAATGCTGCCAAAAAAGACGCCGCCAAGGCATTGACTCCATGAAGGTGTCCTGAGGTATCCAACAAGACATTTGCAGCAAGTTTTGTAGGTTGTGGGGTGGAGAAGCTGTGGTTCAAACTTTTGGTCCAGCACATCCTACAGATGCTCATTTGGATTGGTATTTTATCATCTCAAGGGATATTCCAATCCGAAGTGTTTTGTAGGTATAAATTAAGTGAATTTTGGCCTGCACTTCTACACCTGAAGCTGAATATCTTTCCCATGCATTGCATCAGTCATTGTCCCACAACTACAGGCGCAATGTCCCAAACTCATGCTATACGTTGAGCTGGAAAGTGATTGACGGATCTGAGCAGACCAAACTAAAAACTTTGATGGAATGGCATACTAACAATAGTGAATGGACAAACTGGGTACATAAATTTAACATAAAAAAAACAAAAATTTGCAAACTTCTATACAATACTTAAACTTCATACTATAATATTAAAAATAAATAGCTAACTTTAATTATAGTATGTGTGTGTCTCACCAGGCTCTTAAAATTATGACTTGATGTATTACCAGTGGTGCAAGATATACATCAACCGCCGATATAATATTGGTAAATTTTTTACAAATCAATATCGTTGCAATGTCAAAATAGGGATGATGTGAACAGGCTGATAATCATTCCTGTGTATTTGACATGTTTGTAGATGCAAGTGTGGGGGCGGGCACGACCCCATACATTACGAGCGCAAGTCCTGTCAGTTTCTACATCAATTCGTCCGATTCGTGAACTAATGACTCCTTTGAACCGATTCACTTTAATGAATGGTTAAAACAACGGATCTGTCCAACACTGAACTCAAGAGTCATAAATCGGAAACATTTTACAATAAGGCTCCATTTATTGAAGTCTAGTTAACTACATTAGTTAACATTCTATTAATATTAGTGTCTGTGGATTTACACCCCAGTCATTCTAGAATGATTCATTCTTTCCAAGAGCTATTCAAGTCATCTGGTGAAATTGTTTTTAATATCGCAATATATATATCGCAGAAAAATAAAATATCACAATGTAATTTTTTACCAATATCGTGCAACCCTAATCCTCGCCATGCGCTTTATATACAGAGATTTCGACATCGGTAAATATCGGTATCGGCCACAATTTTCACATCGGTGCATCACTATGTACAACCATTGAAAACAAAAGTAAAGCTAATGGATCTCTCTCCAAGTATAACAGACCAACTTTGGCGGCGCACAAGTGTCTGACCAAGGTTTAAATCTGGCTCGGCCCCTCCCCCAATCCCAGTTCCCTTTCCCCAAATCATGTCCTGTCACTTCTTTACAGTCCCATCTTAGGAAAAAGAAAATGTTGGTGAAACATCTCTAGGGTCAGGCTCAGTATTTCCATGCCCTGCAACCTGAGAGGCATCATTGGGACTGTGGAAAGTATTACGTAGCCCGCACCTATCGCTCTGCTCTTCACCGGCTCTTTCACAGCACTGGGAAGCCTGGGGTATACTGCGCTCTCAGATCACAGGGCATTACACATACACTGGAGAAGCAACAAAAGCCCCAGACAATAGTGCAACTGAATGACGATATTCAAAAGCACTCTTTGAAATTGAGGAGTCCGACATGCAGAGAGAAGGCTGCCGTTCAGAGGTTTACCAGACTGACCTGCAACTAGTATAGTAGTGAGCCATTTAAACACTCATCCAGCTGTACTGACAAGACTCAGACCCCCTATGAGAGACTAAAGCTCACAGAAAACACACACAGTATTTTTGGCTTAAATTTGAATTTAAAGAGACAGGGTAGAAAAACATCCGACAGAAATAACTATATTGTTGTTTATAATATATAATAATGGCTTTAAAATCTTTTAAGGATAATGTGTATTATGGATTAGAAGTAAAACAAGTTTTAAAAATAACACTTTAGAGTTCCTCTATGAAAAAAAGCCTTGGAGACTGAGGAATTGGACAAAGAAAGGAGAGATTCCAAGTGTCAACCTAGTTCAATAATTCACATGACATTATTTACTAATAAGGGGTGTCCAGCAACTGCCACTGAGATCAATGGGAAATGTTAACGGATAGCTTTCTCCTGGCATCACAGATCTCGTGGTGCACAAGTGGCTTAATCATGGTGTCAAATCACAGTTAAACAGTAAAGACTTTAAAAACGACCGAAGATGCTTGAATGTTTCTTACCTGACTTTCTTGCCCTGCTCAGCCAGTGACTTGACAAGATCAGCAATAGGATACTGCGCTTTTGCTGCACACAGACCATAACCTGAAGTAAAAGACACACAAATTAAATAAGGAACAACACACCTAAACATGCATGCAAAAAAAAAAAACAAAAACAAAAAAACAGCTGCTACTATTATTTGAACTTGAAGCCTAGGAAACCCCCACTGGAAAACTAATGAACTCTGCATGATCCTTTTTTATACTTTTAGTAATCATACCTCATCTTTCACAATATGTCATGTGAATTGATTTTGGCCTAATAAATAATCCCAATTTATAAACAAAAAGACAAATCTGTTTTGAAAGTAAAGCAAGCAAGCGACCTGCTCCCACTCATTTACAATTGAAATATAAAGTAATTAAAACTTGAATGACCTGCAGGATTATAAACAAGCACAAGAGAAAATTGATTCATGTTGAAATGCATCTGATGAATCTACAGCATCAGAATTCATAATATTTCACAAGTGTTTATTTTTACACATTCTGTGCTGCTTTCAAAGTGCACTAAAGTAGTTGAACTGGGATCAGAAAGAGTAATGCGCATTATGCAACCATTTAAAAAGACTTATCAATCTTTCATCAATAAACAATTTAGCACTACGGTAAGGAAAACGAATACAAATTCCACACGTCAGATTTAAGCCTTCTGATAGGCTTTTTACAACAACCTTTAAATCCTCCCATTTAAACAAGCATGTCACGGTGCGTGTTGACAAACCCTCCTTACTCCTAATGATTTTTTGCAGCCTTTTTTTTTTTGTAAATGAAAGACATTTCACCCTGGTAAAACAGCCATGGTTGGCAAACTTCAAGCTTAAACAGAAAAGTCTTAAATGTTTTCACAGCTGTCAATCACCAAAAGTGACTATGACTACTTAAATTATACAAAAATGTGGAAATGGAAACAAGGACATCGCTTAGTGTAAGGACTGAGCAGGGAAGGAAACCCCACTCAAAATATACCAAAAAAAGGACAACGTAATGACGGCTGATGGATGGATTTAGCGGTCAATGAGGGGAGAAAACTTGAGTGGGTTCAATTATATGTTATTTAGCAATCCGGGGCTCAATAATAAGGATGGTCTGATCGACCAGGGCCAGTGTAAGAGCGTAGCTACCATATTTAAATATTTGGGAAGGGCTGCACAAAACTGGAAAAACTGACATTGCGATATATAGTTTTTATGCAATATATATTGCGATATGTAAACCATTTCACCAGATGACTTGAATAGCTCTATTTGGAAAGAATTAATCATTCAATGATGATTGGGGTGATTTTGATTGGTTGAGTGACTCTGCATAGAAAATATATCAACAAATTACAAACATAAATAAATACAATAAAACAAAGATGAAGTAAACAGTCTACCAGAACAGCAATTAAATAATCAAATGTGAAATAACACTGCATTGTCTTCGATGTATAAATTAAATATAATTAATCTTTGTTAAAGCTACAAAAGTAATTTTGTCTTTGTATTTTGTTGTTTGATTAACATTAACAACAGACGGTAGCAGGAATATATTAGGCTGCTGCTGTCACCAAGACCGAGCCCATGGATCCAATACCATTTACATTCACGTAAGCCATGAGCAACTGTTTAAATTACCAGGATACTCACAGAGACAGGCATTAATAATACATAACATAATTTTGCGTGCATGAGCCGATTGAAGTACAAATAGACATGGAAGAATATGGATTTTGGTGTTCTCTTGCTGTTCATGATGTGTTTTTTGTGTGCTTCTTCTTCCTCTCAAGTAGTTCAACCTAAAACGCATGCAAGTGATAAACTTTCGCTCAACGATGGTTAAACTATACGATTAATCTGAGAATGCATTTCGAACCGTGGTGCCTGGTCCGTACGGATCACGATCCCTATACTTGACTAATGTGGATGTGCACATCACAATATCGATGCCAAAACGATATCTCGTGAGTAGGGTTGGGTATCGTTTGAATTTGAACGATTCTGATTCCGATTGCGATTCCTTGTTTCGGTTCCGGTTCCTAACGATTCTCGATTCCGATTCTTTTAAGAGGCAGGGTCAAAAAAGTTTAGCTAACCTTGCTAACCAACGGCCTTTCTGAAAGAAATAATCCTTTCTGAAGGAAATACTCCTTCTGTAAAAATACTCCTTTTGTCACAAATTTTGCATTTTGCCAAGATTTCGTTATTTTTAGAAAAGTGACGTACGTAAGGTACTCATGTTAGACTCGCGTGGTTATGCCAACACTTCCGGTAGATGCTTCTTCGTTGGTGGTGTTCAGCTGTTTCTTCTTCCACTCTGCGGACTGTGAATATCGAAACTAGGAATCGAAATTTTAACTTTTGAACGATTCCGGGAAAAACGAAAAGTTAGTCTCGGTTCCAATCGATACTCGATTCTCGATACCCAACCCTACTCGTGAGGCCCTAATTGGGATCTTAATATTGTTTCTAATTCCAGGATTGTAAAAATTAAGTTAACATTATCTAGCCGGCTAGAACCACTTTTAATGTTCTTCATGGTGGCCGGGCCTGTGTTGTCCATGAGCACAGGGCTTTCTCAGACATCTTGGCAGTGGCTTAACAGGCAATGGTCAAGAGGGGAAAATTTGGATGCCTCAGAGCCTGTTGGACAGCCATTTGTTTTAAATAAAAGGGGCCGTCTCTGTTGTGCTTGGCCCTGCAGTCTTGTTTACTCTGGACTGCACTGTTTATTATCATTTCTCCTTTTCTTTCGGTTCATATTCCCACATCTAATCGCTCCTCTTTTCCACTGTCCTGTCGCCTCCAAGGTCTTGATGCTCTCGACCTGCTGTCAAGACCATAAAACGCAACTATAAAACAGTCTGTTGCGAAGAACAAAGCAGCGTGAGAGTCGCTGCCGTTGCTGGAGGCCATTACGGAGGCCCCTGCTAAGGAACCAGCCACAGAAAAATACTCACTTCAGATATACAAGTCCAACTAAATTATTTGCCAACTGAACTTGTATCAAAGGAAAACACAGTTAAAGTTCATCTGACACATCTTGCTTGATCAGTCAGCTGTAGCTGGGCAAAAGAAACGTGCCATAAGAGATAAACCTGACATCACCCACCACAGCTCAGCTCACACGAACAATGACACAGGAGGCCAACCGCGCCGTTCCACAACACACACCAAAGAGTCGAACCCAAATAGACAGATAAAAACTGGCCCCCCCAAAAAACATGTGAGAATTCAAGACCACCACAAAACAAGTCTCAGCATGCCTCAAGGAGATCTCTAGGGGGTTTATCCCGCACAGGAGGGGTCAGAAAATTACCAGTGATGTAATGGAGGTGAACCAAGGTTTCTTTAACAGACATAACATAAAGGATCGTTTGAAGTCATTGACAGGACACACCAGATCTACTTTAAATCAAGGAGTTTCAGATGTGCAAGGCTACAAAAGGCCTCCATTACCTGGAACAATGATGATACTTTGAGCCTCCTTGATAATCTCCACCGTCTGATCCACGTTGACCTCCGTGTGGGTACCTACGATCTCCATGGGCTTGCCCGTGCCAGTGGATGAGGTGCCGTAACCACCCAGAATAACGTTTGCCAGGGAGCGGTTCATGGCCTAGCAAGGAAAAGACACCCAAAGATTGGAAATTAGATTCCACTTCTCAGCCAAAAAAAACAAACAGATTGTGTCAAGAAAATGTGTGTCCATATATGACATTTAGACATTATTAACAACAGGAGATTAGGAAGCGTGCCAGACCGCCAAAATTACTCGAGAGGAATTTGTATGTGAGAGAAGAGTAAAAGCGGGTACGTGCGAGAGAAGAGTAAAAGCGGGTACGTGCAAAATAATACCATCCGTTCATGATAAACGAAAACCATTGGTGTTGA